GGTTAAAGCACTTGGCTGCTAAACAAAAGGTCAGCAGTTCGAACCTACTAGCTGCTCTGCTGGAAGAAGACGTGGCAATCTGCTTCCATAAAGATTGTTATTGTTGTTGTTAGGTGCTGTCGCGTTAGCTCTGACTCATAGCGACCCTATGTACAACGAACAAAACACTGCTCAGTCCTGTGCCATCCTCATAATTGTTAGTTTGAGCCCGTTGTTGCAGCCACTGTGTCAATCCATCCACTGATTTTTTTCCTAGGTTCATATTTTAAACATTCCATGTTGTGATCATTAATGGATGTTTGCAGTTGTAATCTGTAAAGATCACAGTTTTGGAAATCCTATGGAACAATTCTACTCTGCTCTATAAGGTCACTATTAAGTCAGAACTGACTCGACAACAGGTTTGTTTTTTTGGGGGCAAGGCTAAGGTCAATGAGAACAGAACTCCAGGGAAAATATTAGTCTATTTGTGACAGGGATTCACAGCATTCAAACAAAGCACATCTGATTCAACAAAAACCATTTAGCTCACTACATTATTTTAACTATCTGGTTTCTTAACTCTTTGAAAACAAGGGTAGGCAACCTGTGATCGCAAATGAATCTGATATTTTCCTTCCTAAAAACCACATAAGATTTTGCAAAGTACAAGAGGCAAACAGAGTAAATGAGGTCCATAAGGATAAACTTCAAATGTATCCATGATTTAAATGTAAAAAATGAAATTGCAAAAGTACTAGAAGAAAACATGGATAAATTCCTTAATAACTTTGGAGGCAAGACATTTAACCATGACCCCAAATCCAAAGCCATAAGACTGATAAATTCAGTTAAACAAGGGGAAAAAAAGAGCAAACAAAATTTTACATGCAAAAATCATAAGCAAAATAAATGAACCAATGACAAACTGGAAAAATATTTGCAACTTAACAGCACACACAGAGGGCTAATCTCCCTAAAGAAGTAAAGAGCTAAACATTAAGAAAAAGACAAACAGTCCAATAAAAAAAAAATGACAAGGAACATAAACACCTGCAAACAGAGAAGAAAAAATACACACAGCTTTTAGAGGAAATAAAGAAATGTTCAATCTGAATGCAAATTAAAACTACAACGAGATATGAATTCTTACCTATCAGATTGCCAAAAATCAGCAAATTTGAAACTTTCCAATGGTGAGACTGGGGGAAATGTACACTCTCATACATTGCTCTTGGGAATAAAAAATGGTATAACCGAATTCAGTAAGTTTATATTTTGGTGTTGCATCAAGTGCTTACCGTATACTACTGTATGTAGATACTTTCAGGTATATGAAGACAATCAGGTAACCACTACCTTAAAAGAGCTGAAGGGGAGAGCGGAAGGAGACAGGACAAAAATAAATACTGGACAAAAACAAACAAAAAGCCCTGTAATATAAGGCAGATATGACCAATCATTATGGAAGCTTGCTTGAGTCACTTTATTCTGGTCTCCCCATCACTCATTCTGCTTGTACAAGCCAGAACAAAACAAAACAATTTCTTCATAGTCTCTTAAAATCACTTTATATTACAGTGTGTGTCTGAAACCAAGTGGTCTTTTTTTTTTTGGTCTAAGAATGGCTGTAATGGGGAAATCATAGTACAGTCTATAGTTTAAGTTTCTGACATCCTCACATTTTATTCCTGCTCATTTCAGACATCTACATACTCCCGTATAAGGTAACCTAAGTTGTAAAAAGCAAATGATACAAACAAAATAACAACAACAACAAAACTTGGAGATAGCAGGCTGACTACATGCATTCTAGTTTAAAGAAAGCACATATTGTATAGTAACATTTTAAATGCTGGGATTTGTTCATAATCCTCGTACACATAAGCTAATAATTACTGAGCAACAGGTACAGAAACCATTTACAGCTAATAAAATAAAAATTACAAAGGCAGTTCATTTCAGTGAAATTTCCAATTTTGAAAAACTTGTATAGAATTTGGGCAATAAAATTAGCTGCCAAAGATGACTATCATTCAGGTTGCTGTAACAAGGTAGAAGCCAACCTTGATCTGTATACCAAAAGAATAAATCCTTCAAACAGCAGTTTTACAATATCTATGAAACACTACAGCTCTTATATACTTTCCTCTTAGTAATATCAGTGCATAGCACTTGACAACTGGAAATCAATAAACTTGGTTTCCTCCTTGGCTGAAAACAAACACACTGAGTTGTTGCTCTTTGCTGCCCTCCTCCCCCTTTCTTTGTATTAAACAAGCACTTATTTCATAAGGTTCCACCAATTTAGGATCTGTGGATTCTCCTATTTTAACTTGACGGCATATATTTTACACTTTGGCTCTCAAGGGGCAAGCATCCATGGCCTGCAGGCCAAATCTAGCCCACTGTCAGTTTTTGTAAATAAAGTTTAATTGGAACACAGCCACGTTCACTGGCTTACATAATTGTCTCTGGCTGCTTTCACGTGACAACAATAGCAGAGCTGAATAACTGAGACTGGATGGCCCACGAAGCCTAAAATATTTACTATCTGGACTGTATTAGTTTCCCATGGCTACTGTAACAAATTACCACAAACTGGGAAAACAACACAAATTTATTCTCTCACAGCTCTGGAGGCTAGAAGTCTGAAAACAAGGTGTTGGCCTGGCCATGTTCACTCTGAAGTTTCTAGGGAAGAATCCTTCCTTTCAACTTCTGATGGCTGCCTGTGATCCTTGGCTTGCAGATGTATCACTCCAATCTCTGCCTCCATTGCGTCCTGTTCTCCCTGTGTATGTCTGTGTCTCTGTGTCCAAATTTTCCCCTTCTTATAATGACACCATTCATATTCGATTTAGTAACCACCCTAATCCAGTATGACTGTATCTTAACTTGATTACATTTGCAAAAACCCTATTTTCAAGTAAGGTCACATTCTCATATTCCAGGTGGATGTGAATTTCGGGGGACAATCTTTACTCTACCCAGTACATAAAGCCTTAGAGAAGTTTGCTGACCCCCGGTGTAAATAACCATTGCATTCCTGATAAAATTAACTGATAGGCATACACCTTATCACATTTTCTGAAATAACTGAAAGTAAAGACCACATTGAGTAGAGTGTTCTAAATGAAAATTCCTAATATTTATTTCATTTTCAAAAGTCTACAGTTTTTTTTTTTTAAACTAGTTTTTGATGGTGATTTCTAGGTAGCAACATCCATGTAGCAATGCAAATGGTGCATCTGAAATGTCCATGGTGAGCCACCACACAAATACAGTAGTGAAATCTGTCACTTAAAGTGAAATGTACACATCATTGTATTGTTTTCTTTTTTTTTTTTAACATTTCCATCCAAGTCACAATTTAAAAATTTCCAATTTAAACAATCAAAGAGCAACATTCTATAGGGATCAGTGAACGTTTGTTAAACCTACCAAGAGATCTGTGTTGTCACTGTCCTGGTTTTCACTTTTGGATAAGCCAAAATGCTCCATGGCAGAGACATTTTCAAAATGTTTGCAGGTAACATACACTTCAGCTATACCAGAATACAACTTCCTGCTGGACATACGTACTTAGTTACTCCACAAACACCTCAGCACATCTAGTCAATTTACTCTTCCTTCTTCTTTTCCCAACCTCTTAATGAAACTATCCTCCACTTAGTTGGCAACGCCAGAAACCTGAGAGTAACCTTAGTTTCTCCCTTCTCCTTCACATTAAATCAATCACTAAGTTCTGCTAGCTTTATCTTCTATGTATTTCTCAGTTTTGTCCCCTCTTCTTCATCCCTCTCACCACTGTTGGAGTTTAGAACATAATTATATTTTTGCCTAGACTACTACAATAGTCTTCTAACAGGTAGTTCTGCATCTAGTCATGCCCCTTTCATGTCTATCCTTCACAATGCAATAAGTGTCAGAAAATGGTTCCAGGAAGCCTTGAAATTTAGTTGCATTTAACAGGCAAAAAGGGGAGTGGGCATTTCAGACAAAAGGAACAGCATAAACAAAAAGTGTACCTGGATGAGTGTAATATGGAAACTGCTAGGCAAGTCAGAATGGCTGGAGTGCTGTTTGTAGGGATATGATGAGAGATAAAGTGGAAAAAGTATTATGGAATATGGGCATAAAGATCTCTGTGAGCTCCAAACTATTACTCCATTTCCTACTGATTTTCACATGCCAAGTCAACCAAAAATCTGCTGCCACAGACAGTATTCAGAAAAGGGGGGGAAAAAGACAACTCTGAAAAAATCATTTACATAACAAATATTGAAAGAATTATGTTTATATTTACTGCATGTGCCAACATCCCCACTGCAATGTTTGCTGAATGGTAATATTTCAGAAACTAAATAATGTCCTGAAATATCAAGAGTTCTTGAGTCAGAGACTTTAATTAACCCCTTTCATTTTTAAAGTCCCACCTCAAAAGCCCCTTCATCTCTAAACCTTCCTGCCTGAAGCTTTCCCTACTAACTATTCTCTCTCTCTCTCTTCTGGGCTCTCATAACACTCTGTCCTTCTCTCTTAGCTCTTATTCTTTTCCATTGTGAATGTCAGATCATGTTGACCATCTGTAAAGTCTATAGCTCACGATTTAGCTCAACTGTGAATCATTTAAAATCACCAAATTATCACATTTACTTGTGCCCTGAACTGCCAAAATGAACTGGTCTATAACAAAGAAGAAATGATACTGGGAAAAACAACCCACTCCTTACTTTTGTAGCTTTAGATAGTTGCAATGAAGAAGGAACCTGAGAGCTCTAAGAATGGGATGTGGAAACCACGTTGGGTTTTAGCACTATTTCCCATCCCTAAGGATCAGTTACGTAGACCTTTATGCATTTAAAGCAGTTTCTGGATGATACACTGGAATTCTAAAACAGCAAATGAAAGATCTCAGTAGCAGTGAGTAGATGCTTCCAGCATTACAGAAGTAAAAGCTAATTTAGGGTATGAAAGCAGGGAAGAATATACAGTCAGTGGTGGATGTGGCTGCTCACCTGTCGAATCGACATGGTACAGAGAATATACAGGAAGATGAAGGAACAGTCTGTGGTGTCATCTCCCAGCAGGTTTCGATGAGACAGCCCTTGGATGTAGGAGAGGGGGGTGAAGGGAAGCTTTGCCACCACTCTACCATCAAATCTAAAAAGGAAAAAACAAATCATGTTATTTTTGGAAGACTGACAAGCTTCTTGTTTCCAGAGAAGAATCTGGGACTGAAATAGAACTCAAGTCTCTTGATCTCTGGAAAAACAAAAAAAAAAAGGGTAGTATGCTAAAAAGAGATCTAAAGTAAAAGGATGTAAGGAAGGGCCTAGATTATTCCCATCAATCTTTTTCTAAACTGGTGGTTCTCATTTTTCTTTGGTATCAGGACACCTTTACACTCTCAAAAATTATTGAGGACCCTAAAGAGCTTTTGTTTATGTTAAGTTTATTTATCTATACTTACCATATTAGAAATTAAAACTAAGAAATGTTAAAATATTAATTAGTTCATTTAAAAAATTAGTGAGAAGACAGGCATGGTTTTGCATTTTTGCAAAAGTCTTCAATGTTTAGCTTAATAGAAACCAACTGAATTCTCACAGCTGCTTCAACAATCAGTCTGTTGCAATATTATACATCATGAAACTTCTGGAAAACTCCACTGCATACTCATGACAGAATGAGAGTAAAAAAGACAAATATCTTACAATTATTGTGAAAATAATTTTGACCTCAAAGACCTTCTGAAACGGCCTCAAAGACCATCAGGGATCCCCAGAATACACTTTAGGAAGTACTCTTCTAAACCATGATACAATGTAAGACATTAAGAACTCTTTTCCAAGCCCCAAAGATCCCTAATACACACATTAAACAGGATAAGCATTTCTAAATAGGAATTCATGGAATTTAGAGTGGTCATGAAAAAAGCAGATTATTAAACTGTAAACACACTATGATCTAAATTTTTCTAAAACAGAAAAGCTAAGAAAAAAAGCTAGAAGAAAATACACAGCAATGTTTATGTTGAGATGCTGGGGATATGAGCTTTTTTAATACTTTTCTATGAATTAGTTGTGTAATCAGAAAATAATAACAATTATAAAGTTAATGTAGTTAAGGGCAGGGATACTGATTTAAACTATAATATTAGAAAGAAAGAAATACGACAGCATTAGCCGAATTATCCAAATAAAGTCTATAATTCCAGTTAAAACAGTTAGAAAAGTCCTTCTTAGAAAAACACTTGGAATTTAGGATGTTTCTGTGAGGGCAAGGGGGAAAAGGAGACAGTAATACATCTTTTTTTTTAGGGAAAAAAAAATCTGAATATCTAGCTCAACTACTGTGGTCCTTAAAAGCTTCTTGTTCTACTGTATGCCAAAGAATATTCAAATAGATAGATTCAAATAGAAAACAACAATTCTGGTGAAGTTGTGGGGAGACTGGAACTCTTATACACTGCTGATGAGAATGTAAAATGGTACAACCACTATGCAAAAACGATATGGTGCTTCCGTAAAAAGCTAGAAATAGAAATACCATATGACCCAGCAATCCCACTCCCAGGTATATGCCCTACAGAGATAAGAGTTGTGACAGGAATATACATATGCACACGCATGTTCACTGCAGCATTATTCACAATAGCAAAAAGATGGAAACAACGGAAGTGTCTATCAACGGCTGAACTGATAAACTAACTGTGGTACATACTCACAGTGGAATACTACTCAACGATAAAGAAAAACAATGAATCCGCAAAACATCTCAGAACATGGATGAATCTGGAGAACATTATCCTGAGTGAAATAGGCCAATCACAAAAGGACAAATATTGTATGAGACCACCATTAAAAAAAAAAACAAACAAGAAAAGGTTTACATACAGAAAAAAAATTCTTTGATGGTTACCAGGGAAGGAAGGGGGTATGAGGGTAAATTACTAAACAGATAGAAGACATGTGGTAACATCAGTGAAGAGAAAGGCAATACACTATATGGGGGAAATCAGCACAACATGACAAAGGCAAAGGAAGACACCAAAAAGGAACACAAGAATAACAGGCAACTACAGCAATTACTGTAACACAGACAATCCTGCAACAACAATATTAACAGACAATAATTTATGAAGGGATACACAGGTAGATAAGTATGTTAAAAAGGCACGGGAGGATGTAAGGGAGCACACCCACCTACGGACATACACTAGGTTGTGGATATTGCTACATACGCATTTGTAGATGTTACATGTATACTAATATAAATAATAAAACATACAAGGGGCACAGTCATGGACACTTTTTTATGCACGACTAAACAACACCCAGGAGGAAGATACTAGGCTTGAAGGTTAAGGACCATAGACTCAGGACATCTATGTCAACTGGCATAACATAGTACATAAAAACAATGTTCTACATCCTACTTTGGCGAGTAGTGTCTGGGGCCTTAAAAGCTTGCAAGTGGCCATCTAAGATACAACTAGTGGTCTCTTCTTGTCTGGAGTAAATGAGAGTGAAGAAAACCAAACATTCAAGGTGCAATTAGTCCAAAGAACTAACAGACCACATGCACCACAGCCTTCACAACCCTGAGACCAGAAGAACTACATGGTGCCTGGCTACCACTACCGACCACTCTGACTGGGATCACAATAGAGGGTCCCGGACAGAGCAGGAGAAAAATATAGAACAATCTAATTAATAAAAAAAGATCAGACTTAGTGGTCTGAGAAAGACTGGAGGAATCCCCTAGACTATGGCTCTGTGATACCCCTCTGACTTGGAACTCCAGACATTCCCGGAAACCACCTTCCAGTCAAGCAACAGACAGGCCTATAAAATAAAGAGTAACACCCCAAAACAAGTGTGCTCTGTAGGACAAACAATTATACGAGACCAAAAGGACAACATTTGCCCAAAAGCATAGATGAGAAGACAGAAGGGGTAGGAAAACCAGATGAAAGGAAATGGGGAACACAGGGTGGAAATAGAGAGACTGCTGACATAGTGTGGGGACTGCAACCAATGTCACAGAACACTATGTGTACAATTTGAGGTTGAATGGGAAACTAATTTGCTCTGTAAACTTTCACCTACAACATAATAAACTATTAAAAACAAACAAACAAGAAAAAACAAAGGAAAGCTTTTCCTACTGCAAGTAGTTGTCTTTTACAAGAAAGTAAGCCTAATAATAAAATTTTTCATATCATTTTCCTCCTGAGATACGCTATTTGACCTCTATAGCATGAA